ATAGTTCAGGAATTGAAGCTCGAAAAAAGTTAAAACCTCGCAATTTTTTCGTCCTGCATGTATCCAACTGAAATTTTAGCAGAAGGTAGGTAATAGCCCAAGGATCAAAATCTATATCGAACCGAAGTGCGCTGAAGGGTTTTAGGGGTGAAAACTACCCCTAATTTTCAAAAATATAAAATAACATATTAAACCTGAATATGGGTAAGATTTGGTGTGAATTAATTAAATAATGATTATTTTATACTTTTGAATAGAGTTCCATCATATTTCAACCCTTAAAAAGCAACCCTTGTTAAAGATTAATGTAAAAAATTACTAATTCTAAAAAAATGATTTCGCCTTGTATCGATTTGGATAAAAATTTGGATTTAAGCTCAATTCACCCGCTGCTTTATAGTTTATGTCATGTCGACGAACCCTGATTGTTCTTAGGGGTGAAAACTACCCCTAATTGTCAAAAATTATAAAATAACATATTAAACCTGAATGTGGGTAAAATTTGGTTTGAATTAATTAAATAATGATAGTTTCGTGCTTTTCAATAAAGTTCCATCATATTTCAACCCTTAAAAAACGACCCTCATTAGAGATTAATATAAAAAAATTAGTAATGCGAAGAAAATGATTTCACCTTGAAACGACTTGCATAAAAATTTGGAATTAAGCTCAACTCACTCTCTGCTTTATAGTTTATGTCATGCTAATGAACCCTGATTGTTCTTAGGGGTGAAAACTACCCCTAATTTTCAAAAATTGTCAAATAATATTACAAATCCTAAAATGAGTGAAATTTGGTTTGGATTAGTTAAATAGTGAGTTTTTTATACTTTTAAATACAAATTCATATAACTTTTCAACTTTTGAAAATCACCCTTTACAACATTGAAGTTTTTATAAACTAATTTATAAGATATAAATTGAAAAAAGTAGAATTAAATACAAAAAAAATTATCAACATAAAAAGGCACCATATATTCTTATACATTTACATAAATAGTTGAAAATATTTACATTTATAGGTAAAACAATTATAATATTAATTTTATTCGTCATCAATTACATCTTCATCGTGATCTATGTCATCATCATCTTCCTCAATTATTGGTGGACTGTTATTGCACCCTTCACCTGAGCACCCAGAACAAGTAGAGTTACAGTATAAACAAACTTTTCTGCACCCATATGAAACGCCGCATCCTTTTTTGCATTGGCAAAAAATAATTTTCAAAAATTTATCGGGTACAGGTTGTTTGTTCATGCGTACGGGTAATAACAAACCATCTTTGGAAAACCATCCCCAATCTGTTGCTCTGATATTTTCATTGCCAAGCCATAGACATATGAGCAGATGTTTTATTATGTTGTATGGGATTTCAAAATAAGAACGCTTAAAATTTCGAATGTATAACGCCCCACTAGCTAATATACCGGTTTTTTTAGATTATTATGCTCCGAAATGTACTGTACTATACTAATGGAATTTTCCGGAAAAAAATTAACTGGTTTTTTTAACGTATTTCCTTTAATTTTTAACGATAGATGTTTCTTCAAAAACGGTTTGTAGAGGTTTTTAATAGCTACAAGGATCTGTGAATTAAATCTTTTTGGAACCCTTGGTTTTTAAATGGGGTGAGTTTAAAGGGCTCTAAAAAGGTGGTGCTTGATAGTAAATCGATGCTTTAAACGGCTATATCTCGCCAAATATTCATTGTACAACAAATCTAAATAAAGGATAATTTTAGTCATTAAAAAAGCTACAATTTGGTAATTTTTATTTTTTTCATATATTCAGTATTTTCGGGCATATTTGAAAAAAGAAGGGTAAAAAATATGAAATTGTAAATCGTTTCTCGCTTTAAGCTGTACTTTTTCTAAAATTAAGCATTTTAAATAAGTCAAACTTCTTGGACGTATTAACAATACATCTACAAAGGGAATTGCAGAAGGGTGAAGATCGATTTTAATTATGGGGGTGGTTAGGGTGTTGTTTTCCTCAATTTTTTCGTAAAAAATGAGGTATTGACCTTATTTTTTTATGATAGGTCTATTTATGCTCTTTAAAAAAGGTTTTGTGAGTTTTCTACCAAAAATGCATAATTTTCCCGATATTTGACTTTGAATCTTTCAAATTTGGCATTTGAAGAAAACCGCTGAACATTGATATTGTATTTGTAATTGTATTTGTCTTTTTAAAAGCTACAAATTTGTTTTCTACAATTTTTTTGATAAAATTCACCATTTTCGAGTTATTCGCGAAAAATCGATTAAAAACGTGGATTTTTTCGTCTAAAAGTTGTTACTTTCAATAATCTTGAAAAATATCATTTTATAAAAAAAATGTATACCACATTTTTTGTTTAGAATCACTTTTCTAATCGAAACCTGTAGTTAAAACGTAAAAAAAAAATTCACCCGGAGATGGGGTGGCAACCACCCCCTAGGCTTTGGCGCACTTTGGTTCGATATAGATTTTGATCCTTAGGCTATTACCTACCTTCTGTTAAATTTCAAGTCAATCCACGCCGCACGAAAAAATTGCGAGGTGAAATGCTACATTTCCTGGACTATAACTGGTTTGACAGCATAATCGTAGATTTATGTGTAGCTTTCAATTTTTATGAGTTCAGAATCCAGCAGTCCGCTGAAGTATGGGATTTTTTATAATATAATTATTTGACAATCTTTTGTTGGCCAACCAGCTACAGCAGAATTGAGCCGAAATACATTATATTCCTATGTTCCGAATTTATTTCGTTCAATCTGTATATATATATATATATATATATATATATATATATATATATATATAATATAATATAATATAATATAATATAATATAATATAATATAATATAATATAATATAATATAATATAATATAATATAATATAATATAATATAATATAATATAATATAATCGTCTTAAGAAATACACTTCTTGTATTTTGCGTAACGGAACTTCGTACAAAATGTCAAACATATATGGTAAGGGCGTAAATAGAAGCATTAGCAAAGGAAATAACAGTAGTAACCTTTCCTGTGAATCCTATATCAGGAAACGCAGGGGTAAACCCTGGATTTGTCAAAGGAAATTGAAGTAATGCAAACGATTGCCTCCTTTCTGCTCGTATTTTGCATTTCGGTAAATTTGGTCGATCTCGGGGGACTGAGGAATTAAACTGCAGCAATCTAGTCTCAACTCCAAGTAATATCACACTATCTATAAATAATTAAGTGCGTAATTAGTAAAAGTTTTGTTAAATAAATTTTGTGAATAGTATTTATGAAATATTGATAAAAGTATGAAAGTATAATATATTTTATAAACTATAAAATAGATTATTTTATATATATTTCGTAAGCTTTCGTCCGACTGTTTACTAAATGTCATTTGGACATGTAGCAATTTGTTTATAATTATGTTTATTTATAATTTACATCATTACCGAGTATTAAGTAAATGTGTTATAGGCTTTGGGCGTGAGAGAGGCTTTATAGACATCATTGGATGTCTTTTCTTTTCTATTTTGGTTTAGTATTGAAGTAGGTCTTGGGCCAGGTTCTATCTAGTCTTCTTGTGGCTGGACCATTGTTGAATAATTTTCTTACTAGCTCACTATTTTCATGGTGAATGGTACGTTCATTTTATGACTCCGTGGCTCGATGGATTTCTTCTCTCATGAAAGGAATCTTCAATATCTTTAGTATCGATTTTAGCACTTAAGACTGGAATCTTTGGATCATATTTAGCGACGTTGGCTTTGCACAGCCCCATAGGTGTACTCCATAGAAACAGATAAGTTTGAGTATGGCTTTGTATAGAAGAATTTTTTTTGTGGATGTATGTTAAGTTTTGATTTACGTCCAAGGAGCCAATACATTCGCCGGAATTTTAAGTCGAGCTGTCTTCTTTTGGTCAGGGCGAAGATAGGGGGGAATGGAGATTAATTCTTGAATACGCCAAGATCCACCCAGGGTTGTAGATCCAAAGATGATGATGATGTCTTCTTTTGGTCTGGATATGTTTCTTCCAAGTGAGATGTTGAGACCAAGGTATCTAGCGTGTGTTATTGTTGGTATTATTTTTTTATTTTCCATTCTTACAGGTGGGCATATGTTGTGACGGTTGGTAAATTATATTTGAGTTGATTTTGTTTTATTTACTTTGTTCTACATTTCGTATACCAATCACTGAGTATGTTTAGATGATGTTGCAGGTTTTATGAGGCCTGTAGGGGATCTTAGTTTACAGCTAGTATTGCTACGTCGTCAGCAAGAAAGCGATGGTAGTGTTATTAATCTCTGGTATATCGGCTGTGTAGAGTGAGAAAAGCAGCGGCCTAAAACACTACCCTGCGGAACTCCGGAGTTGAGGATAGAGGTTGGACTGTTTGGTCTTTGGACTTTACAGACAAATATATATTTGATATGTAGGATTTAAGTAGGAGGAAATAGTTTCTGGATAGTGCTATTTTTACTTTGTAAAGCAGACCTCTGTACTAGACTTTGTCAAATGCTTTTGAGATGTCTAGAAATATAGCGTTGCAGTATTTCTATTTTTCAAGACTTTTTGATATTTCATTTATCATTCAATGGAATTGTTGGGTAGTGGAGTGATTTTCCCGAAAACCAAACTGATGTTTTGGTAGTAATTTTAGGAATTCATGATCTGCGTATATCCTTTGTAGCAAGAATCTTTCAAAAACTTTACTAACGATTGGGAGTAGGCTGATGGGTCGGTAAGATGTTACTTTATTGGATGTAGCAAATTAAATAATATATTTTAGTAAGATTAGAACAGTCATTTGAATTTTGAAAGATAAATTTAAAATATTTTTAACAAAAAAGTCCCATATATTAACTCTGGTGCTCACTATTCAAGGCTTCCTTTGCATAATAAAGAAGCCATCTATGTTTGATTATGATGGCGATTTTAAGCAATATTAAGATATTTAAGCATTTTAGATAACTCACTATCTCAGTTTATTATTTGTTACAGATACTCCAACCAAAGTTGAAACCAATATATTAATTAGAAGTATGGGACCAATTTCAGAATTAGACATGGTAAGGGATGTATAAATATTTTAGATTGTGGTGATCAAAAAAAATTATCTACTTCAATAATAATTAAGAGACTGTGTATTTATTCGGTTTTTCGTATCTGTTCAAATTTTATGGCTTGAGATATTTAAAATATTTATTCAATGAGTACACGAATGTAATTCTAGAATAGTCAAAATTAAGAAAGTTAACGATAAAAATTGTATGAATTGAAAAAGCACGTGCCAATTTTGTGAAAATGAAAAAGATTTTATGCAGCAAAGATCTGACCTTGGCCCTCAGAATAAGGCCAATTAAATTCTATGTACATAGTGTACTCTACTATGGAGCTGAATCATGGACATTAAACAGGAATACAATAAATCGACTTAACGCGTTTGAAATGTGGACATTTAGAAGATTGTTAAGGATTCCATGGGTAGATAGAATCACGAATGCAGAAGTGTTAAGAAGAATAGGCAGAGAGAAGGAAATGGAAAATACAATAAAAGAAAGGAAATTGCAATATATCGGACATGTAATGAGAGGCGAAAGATGCAACATCTTGAGACTCATAATTCAAGGAAAAATAGAAAGTAGGAGAAGCGTAGGAAGAAGACGTGTTTCCTGGTTGAAGAACCTGAGAGAGTGCTTTGGTTGCAGCTCAAGGCAATGGTTCAGAGCACCTGCCTCGAAGGTCAGAATAGCCATGATGATTACCAACCTTCGTCACGGAGATGGCACTTAAAGAAGAAAGAAGACGTTCATTGTTAGACCTTACTCTTTTCCATACTTCGTTATTCTGGTCACCAGTCTCTGAAGATCTTCAAAATTTTTAGCTAAAATCACAGTGTAGTTCGCATATCTAATGTTGTTAATGACTACTCCATTACCTAACTTTATTCCAGCTGTTTCATCCTCAAGAGATCTCTTCGGAGTAGGCATTAAAAAGAATTGGCGACAATACGCATCCCTGTCTCACTCCACGTTTAATTTTCCTTCTGACAGTTGTTCGTTAACACGTACTTTTGTTTGGTGTTTATAGTATAAATTTGATATTATCCTGAGGTCGTTGTAATCAATCTTCTTTAATTTTAGGACATTCATTAATTGTTCATGTAGTACTTTACCAAATGCTTTACTATAGTCAATAAAACATGCGTATATATCTTGATTGACTTTCAGGCATCTTTGTAACAGTATATTAAGTGAAAAAAGAGCTTCGCGCTCTAGCTAGGCCTTTGCGAAAAAAAAAAAATTGTGCATCATTAACGTCTATGTCCAGTTTGCGATATATTTGGTTATGGATGACTTTTAGTAGTACCTTTAGCACATGAGACATCAAGCTAATGGTGTGGTAATCGCTGCATTCTCTTACGTTTTTCTTTTTGGGAAGACAAATAAAAATCGACGTTAACCACTCTTTGGGTAATACACCTGAACTATAAATTTGATTCAAGAGTGTCACTAAATCATCAAAGTGCTTCAAATCTAGAATTTTTAGGATTTCTATAAAGAGCATGTCAGGTCCAGGGCTTTTTTCACTCTTTATTGTTTTTAATGCGTGTAATATTTCTTCTTTTGTGATTTATGGACCTATTTCTTCTGACGTAAGTTCTATGTGCTCCAGATCTCCTCTTTCATCATCGAACAGTTCGTCGATATATTCTGCCCATCTTTTTACTTTCTCGTCCGTCTGTGTTATAGTAGTCCCGTGTCTATCCTAAAATGCACCAGTTATCACAACAGATCGGTTAAACAGATCATATTCATTTTGAAAGTCTTCGATCTCATAGCATTTCTCTTCAAAGTATTTTTCTTTTGCCTGCTTTATCGTCTTCCTGATCTCGTGGTTTATCTCTTTGTGTTTATTTTTGTCTTTGTTTTTACATTGTCTCCGTTATTCTATCATATTGAGCATCTCATCATCCATCCATTCTTCTTTTCTCCTTGCGGAAGTCTTTAGTATTTCTTTACAGGGTTTCAGTAGATAATGTTTTAGTCGATCCCAGTACTCGTCAATATCATTGGTGTTTGTGTTCAATTTGCTGCAGTTCACATGCAGCTCATATTGGAGGCATCCTTATACGTTAGGTTCTTTAAGTTTTCTTGTGTCCATTGTACGGATTCTTTGATGTCTTTAATATCCTTAAGAGTGAGTGTAATCTTGGCGATAAGTGGATTGTGATCTGAGGTCACGTCTGATCCAGGATATGCTTTCACGGCTTTAACAGCTTTAACACGGCTTTAATAAAGGTAGCTAACTACAATTTAATACTTATGATTATTTCTATTGTATTATTAACTCCATCATTTTATCCTATACTGCTGCTAAACAAAAGGTCGATGTTTAGTTTTTCAATTTACAGTGATCTATGAGTAATAAAACTATATGTAAATGAAAATATATAAGTTATAGCATAAAGTCTTATCCATTTGTTTTTAGGAATATTCCATGGATTGTTATTTTAGACAGTATTGGAGAGATCCACGATTATCATACGAAGGACCAATTAAGTCTTTGTCATTATCTATAAAAATGTTGGAAAAAATTTGGAGACCTGACACTTATTTTCACAATGGTAAAAATTCCTATGTTCACACTATAACAGTTCCTAATAAGTTATTAAGAATTAGCCAAAATGGAGATGTTTTATATTCTATGAGGTAAGAAATCATCAAAAGGATCAACAACTTTTGTTGTATTTGCTGTTCACAATGTTCTTTACAGATTAACTATTAAAGCCAAGTGCCCAATGGAACTAAGAAATTTTCCAATGGATCGTCAATCTTGCCCTCTAATATTTGGCAGCTGTAAGTATTTTTAAATCAGTTATCGTTTTATATAAACAGCTAACCTGCAATTTTAGTTGCATATACTACCAAGGACTTGGTATACACGTGGCAAAATGACGAAAGCGTCAGCTTTGTTCCTGGAATGACATTGTCCCAGTTTGATTTGATTAGTTTTCATTATAGAAATGTTAATATAAGCAAAAGAGAAGGTAAGGTTAATAAATCATATACATATTTTTTAATTATAGGAAATAGGTTTTATGTTTAAAGGGAGTAAAAAATTTTAGCAGTTAGATATTTTAGCCAATAACAGGATGTGACGTGATTCATATTAGATATTGTAAAGTTGCTGCATGGAAGCTGTATGATTAACACAGATTAGTTGTTGGCTGTCACCGCTTCTTGGTTTAAACTTTTGTAAAACGATAATCAGGTATGCCACGGGAAACCATTTCTCTAAAGAATGTAGTGAAAATACAGATTTACAGTATTATACAGTCTGGCTCTGGCTAGCAAAGTTCAGACATTTTTGTAGAAAGACTTGGAGTCTACTGAGGAATCTTGGTAGTGGAAACAAAATAAGCTCAGTTATTCCTCATCAGATAGTTGCCACAACATTAAACTTATTCCGGACCTCATCCCATAAACCACATAGCATTAAAGTTAAATATCAACTTAAATTTCGTAAAAGGTAAACACAAGACATAAGCAGTCCCTCGCAGATTTTTAGCATGAAAGAGTTTTAAGCCTCAATTAAATACTGAAAAACACCAATTTATCAAAAAATCAAACACCTTTAGAAAACTTTAAAGCCGTAATTCAAGTAACTAAAAAACTAACTGATAATTTGCATATTTTTATTGAGACATACGATTTATTAACCAAAAATAAAGGCACACTGGACTATCTTACAAAAAAATTGACGAGATCCATAAAATAAATAACCTGCTAAATCATGACAATGTTTTGAAATCTATAAGGCAGATGGAACAAGATATTTTCAACATATCGTCAGTTTTTTTCGGCTGTTCTGATGACATTATCAAGGTTAATCCAAGATTCAAATGAGATTAAGAAGTGGATAGAAAGGCTCTCTTCAAACATCAGTGAAATATCTAATCAAATGGGTAATCTTACCAACAAATTATCTACTATGCAAATGAAAAAAGACGTATTGAAGAAAAATACATTTTATGCCACCTCAGGTACCCAAACTGAAAACTTAACCCCAATTTACACCCCTATACAAGTTGCTCACTTCATTAAAGAGCAGCTGGGTATCAAGGAAAATATTATTATATTATGCCGTGCTTCAAGATGCCGACACAGCGAATGGTTCCTTATTCAAAATAGGCATAAAATTTTAAACCTCCATTGACTTATTACTTAAAAAGGAAATTTGACCATCTGGTGTAAACAGTTAATGCTCTACAGAATCTTCATATTTTGAACGAACGCCTTCATCTGAGTCAAATATGGTTCCGAAGAACATCAGAAGCCCCGTTAGCTAGGAAAACCCAATTACCATTTTAAGTAGCAACAAAAGTGAAGTGGAAAATACAAAAATAATCACAGACAAGCAGGCCATTGAAATTTGCAACTCTAAGAATGCTTTCCATTCTCATATTAACTTAATTAAGAAGGATACTTTAGAACCATCGATAACTCTGGATCCTTTGACTCACCAAGAGATTAACCAATAACTCGAACAGTCGATATCTTCTAGCAAGATTAGGGAAACCAGATATCTTGAAAGCTACATCTTGCTTTTCTATACGACCAAACTGCTTCAATATGTTACGAAGGATTCTTCAACACAAGCGTTAAACTCTTTTTGGCTTTCAAAGGACTTTTCACTAAGACTGAATATCTACAAAAAATCCTTCTAGAATTTAACGATGTCTATGGAATTGGTAACTGTAATGTGTCATTGTGATCATCAATATCAGTCATTGGAAAGTCACTGAAACTACTATTCCGTTGCCTCTCCAACACGAATTTTTTAAATAATATGACGTGTTCTGTAGGACTAGAAGTAGTCCCGTGGGACAGGAGTAGTATATTATGTGATAAAAACATTGCAATAAAACTGAAGAGAAAATTGGAGGAACATTGAAGAAAAACAACAAATGTAGTCGAGGAAATAAGATTGCTTAGATGGATGAGTGGAGTGACAAAAAGGATAAAATTAACATTTTTAACGCTATTAAAAAAATAATTAAACATAGCTAAATTACTTTCTCGGCATCATCAGAAGAACGGCAGATCTCCAACATGATGGCCGACCAAATGAAGACTATGGTATGAATATTTCTACACGAAGCCGTCCATCTGGCACAAGCTCCTAGCCAATGGAGACAGCAAACTAACAATATTTAGAGCGTCACCAAGCCCTTACGAGGGCTCAATGAATGAGGAGGAGTTAAAGTAAACTTTTTAGAAGACAACCTAATAAAGTTAGAATAACCATGATGCTACTGACTGAATAATTAATAGGCATTTTGACATATATGTATTAACAAAAGAGAATTCTCATAATGTTCTCAATTTTATTTTTATAGGAGCAGTTTCCATTCTTGAAGTTGCTTTTAATCTGCAGCGCCATGCAGGCTATTTTCTTATTCAAGTATATCTACCATGTATCTTAATCGTAGTTTTATCATGGGTGTCGTTCTGGATACATAGGGAAGCTACTAGCGATAGAGTAGGACTAGGAATCACAACAGTGCTTACCTTGTCTACCATAAGTTTAGATTCGAGAACTGATTTACCAAAAGTGTCGTAAGTAAATTAAATGAAGTCTTGAAACTTACTCTTCTTGAATATTTTCCAGATTTTTATAATCGCTTATTTTCAGTTATGCAACGGCACTCGATTGGTTCCTCTTCACCAGCTTTTTCTACTGCATCGCTACTTTACTTGAATTTGCAAGCGTCCATTACTTTACTAAAGTGGGTAGTGGCGAAATAGCTGTTGACGAGGAAGAATGGGAAGATTGTTCTGAGTCTGAAGAGGAGATCATCGGAGAAATTGAAGCAGAGGTCAATTCAACCCACATGGACGGTCCAGCAAGCAGAAGGAATTGTATATTTTGTTCTACATATCGTGTAAGAAAATATTCTTGTTAGTAGAATTTGCTAATAATTAGAAAGAGTCACCTAACCACCTAACAATCTTAACTTAAGTGTGCAATTAAAAATTTATTTGCTATAAAAATTCTAGCAATCATAATTTATTACTATTTTAGTGATCACACCTAAAGCATCTAATTCTAAAACTTATATTTATATTAAAACTTACTACGTTATATAAACTTTTAGAATCTTAGAAACAGAGAACGCAGAAGTTGTTTGCTTCACTCTCATCCTTCGACGTTGGAAAGGACGACCCAAACTGAAAATAAGTTACCCAAATGGAAACAGTTTATATATTGTCTTACAGGAGATGACCAGTTTAGGCGACAGAGGCAAAGGGAAGCTGCAGCCCTAAAAGGTATGTTATTTTAAAAAAAAGTCTTAGTCAGTATCTGAATACTAGTGTCTTATAATGAACAACAATAGGAATCAGGACATGGAGTGGGAGTATGTACATTGTAAAAATGACGTGCACCCTATCCTCCATGCTGTGGCATGTTGGACGAACCAGACAGAGTACAGTCAACTCCTCGAGGTATGAGCGGGAACACAAAGTGTATCAATATTCATACACTTATGAAACTCATCTGGCGGTTCATCAGGGCCTTCACATTTTACTCTTTTTTAACTTGTCCTAAGTGAAACGTCTTTAATTTTTCCTATTAGATTCTCTTGGCTAACTCTGATTTCTTCCGACCCTGAATGGCTATTAGGTTTGCGAAGGCAGACAAGTCACTATATAATCTTCTACTACACACTCTAAAACTCGCCTACACGCTTGGCCAGCGCGGCGTTTGAAGGCTAAATTTTCTCTCATGATGGATCCCGGTGGTTCCAACTTCCCTGACCAAGAAGGCACTCAGAACAGAGTTGGATCAGAGGGTACTAATAATTACCTAAAGAGATCATGTCACCATAATAAACAACAAATGCATATACTTATGTGTCTACAACGTACAAACTTTATCAATAGAAGTATCAGTAATAGAACTGGAAAAAGAACGCGAAGATTGATTAAGGAGAATAACATTCTTAAATGTTTCATCTTATCACGATAGGGCAGTTAAACCATTCATAAATCAACTTAATAAGAAATTGCAAAGCAGTAGAACCAAAACACATAGAAGAGGATACGTGGATTGACTACCTAAAAAAGCTCTACGTAAGGGAAAAACAAACAATACTAGAATCGGAAACACCAGAAATTATCACAAATAGAGAACTTAATATAAATATACAGGAACTTCGGAAAATAATTAAAAATCTGAAGAACAGGAAATCAGCAGGTAAAATGGGATGCCAAATGAATTACTGGAATAATGTAAAGCAGCAATTCTTCTTGATGTGCCTACCCGTTACGAATGTTGACGATCATCATGGCAATCTTTATCTTATCTGCAGCAGCGAGGTTTGGCTGCACATATGTTGTATTGAACCAGTTTCTGAGGATATTTAACCAAGATGTTCTTCTTCTTCCTGGACCTCGCTTTCCAAAATCTGGATTCATTTCGCATAATATGTCCAAACAATTGTAACTTTCAAAATTTAATGGTGGTCAGTACCTCTCGGTTCTTATTCATTCCTCTAAGGACCTCCTCATTTGTGTCAGTCAGTATGTTCACCTTCAACTCTGAGATTTGCTGTCTGATTCCAGTAAAGATGTCTAATTATTTTTAGATTTTGGTTGTTAATCCCTGCTTCTTTTAGTATTTGCATCATCTTGACGTGCTGTACTCGATCAAACACTTTCTCGTAATCAACTAGACATGCGTATACGTCGCAGTTGACGTTTCTGCATCTCTGGAATAAGACTTGTACTGAGAACAAAGCCTCTGTAGTATTAACAGCATTTGTGAACCCAAACTGGTTGGGGGAAATTTGACTTTCACAGAGCTTGTAGATTCTCTTATGAATTATCTTTAGGAACAATTTTAGGAGATGACTCATGAGGCTTATAGTACGGTAATCTTCGCATTTTTTTGGCTCTTGGTTTTTATGGAAGTGCAATACACTCAGATTACAGCGATTCTGTTGGTATTTTTCCAGAGTTGTATATGTTCCAGAGGTTCCGAACTAATGCCAGAGATAAAGCTAGAAGAGATTCGACAAGCATTAAGAAAAATGAAAAATAACAAAGCCCCAGGAGAGGATGGAATCGTAATAGAAGCTATCGTAAATGGAGGAGATATGCTATTAAATAAATAAGGAAACTATTCAATCTATGTTTGCAGCAAAGAGAGGTGCCCAAAGAGTGGAACAATGCTACAACCATCCTTTTGCATAAAAAGGAGATAGAACGAACCTAGACAATTATAGACCTATTAGTTTGTTGAACCACATATACAAGCTCTTCACTAGGGTAGTGACATCAAGATTGGAGAAAAAATTAGATTTCTACCAACCGAGAGAGCAGGCAGGATTCCGCTCAAATTATGGTACCAATGATCACCTCCACACAGTAAAAACACTCATTGAAAAATCTATAGAATATAACAAACCTCTTGTTCTCACTTTCATAGATTTTCATAAAGCGTTCGACACGATCGAATTAGACAGCCTTATAGAAGCCATGAATGACAGCAGGATTGACCATAGGTATAGTGAGCTTATTTATAATATTTACAAAAATGCCACTGTGACTCTTAAAATAGACAATAAAACCCGACCAATACAAATAAATCGTGGAATAAGGCAAGGAGATACATTGTCGCCGAAATTATTCATAACGGCATTAGAATATGCCTTTAAGATGATTAATTGGGACCACAGAGGAGTAACGATAGACGGCGAAAAGCTTAACCATCTCCGTTTCGCAGATGACATTGTCCTTATCACAGATAATTTAGGAGAAGCTACAGATATGATAAACGAATTGGATTTTGCATGTTCGAAGGTGGGCCTGAGAATGAACTTGACCAAAACTAAGTTTATGACAAATTTGGTCCCCAATAACCATTTGACTATTCAAGACAAAGTGGTAGAACTGGTGGAGAAATATACGTATTTGGGTCATGAAATAAGAATCAGCAGGGATAACCAAACATGTGAGATCCAAAGACGAATTACTTTAACATGGGCAGCCTTTGGAAAACTGCGAGACACACTTAGGGCCAACATACCAATCAGCCTCAAAAGAAAAGTGTTTGACCAATGCGTATTACCGGTCATGACCTATGGGGCGGAAACTATGACTTTAACCAAGACCACAGCTTCGAAACTGAGAGTGGCACAGAGACGAATGGAACGGTCTATGCTGGGAGTGACGTTGAGGGACCGAATAAGAAACGAAGATCTGCGAAGAAGGACGAGTATTACTGATGTTGTAGAACGCATATCCGAACTAAAATGGAACTGGACAGGCCATGTAGCGAGAATGCACGATTCACGATGGACGAACAAAATTACAAATTGGAGGCCAAGAGCAGACAAACGCAGTAGAGGAAGACCACCTACACGTTGGGCCGACGACATCAGGCGTATCACTAAAAATTGGCAACAAAGAGCACAAAATCGTGAGGAATGGAGGAGTTTAAGGGAGGCCTATGTCCAGCAGTGGACGTGATAAATAGAGGCTGGATAATGATGATGATGATATGTTGTTGAATATCTTTGCGATTGTTGCTATTGATTCGTTGTCCATTAGTTTAAGTAGTTCTGCTTGTATATTATCAGGGCCTGCCGCTTTGCCATTCTTTAACTGTGTTCTTGCGGGATAAACTTCCTGCTGTAATATTCTTGGTCCATCATTTAACTCTTCTTCTAGCTCCAAGGTGTTATCTCTTTGGTCTTCAAATAGTTTTTCTAGAAAGCAGCAATGACAGAACAATTAACAACAATAATCAATAAAATTATAAAACACAATAAAATATCGAAAGAATCGAAAAACGAGCAAACTAATTCTACTATTCAAAAAAGGATATAAAAAACAGCCAGAAAACTACAGAGGTACCTATACATTTATTAAAATACTAACCTATTATGAAACAACTAAAATTTTATAAGTGCTAATAAATCAAGAGGATAAGTTCAGAAGATGCAAAAAAGGGTTTTCGTAGTGGAAGATCGTGTACACGTGCCATATTCATTATAAAGCAAATTACCGAGAAATCACTAGAGTATAATAATTTATGACCAATTGACAATTTGAAAAAAGTGTTGTGAAAAGTGTTGTTGTTTTTTGCAAGATTTAGTATGTGTTTGACTTGAATTGACAAAAATATTAATATATTTTATGGCATTTTGTTAAAATAACATTTTGTTTTTCGAAGAATCATATGTTTTTTTTGTGAGTATCACGTACGGATCATACTAATTGTAATAAAAATTAACGAAATTTCGCCCTTATAAATTTGAAACATTTGTGTATCCGTCTACATTAATTTGTCTACATATTTTTTTTTTAGTTTCTTCTTACAAATGCTTTTATTCATACTTATCAAAATTTTATTGAGTTTAAAATTAACTGTATTAGAAGCAATTCAAATAAATTCATTCTCTTAGAAAGTGATTCAGACAGTCAAATGAGATTTGACTTTGATTAACCTTGTTTATGGATTTTACTACACTACTGAGAAATATCTCTCCTGTTTATGTCACAAAAGTACCTTCTTCTTCTTAGCCTTCTGTCGTCCATGTTTGGACATAGGCCTCCCCCAACTCCTTCCATCGGTCTCTATCCTGAGCAACATATTTCCAATTTGTTCCGACTATTCTTTTAATGTTATCAACCCATCTCATCGGTGGTCTTCCTCTTGGTCGTTAACTTTCGTAAGGTCTCCAATGTTGTATTGTAGTATTCCAACGTTGGTCTTTCTGTCTGGCAGTGTGGCCCGCGAAGCTCCATTTAAGTTCGGCAATTTTTGTTGTTATGTCCTCGACTTTTGTTTTGGATCTTACCTAGTCGTTCCTCTTTTTATCTGACAGTCGTATACCTAACATTGCTCTTTCCATTGTTCTTTCTGTTGTGGCTAGTTTATTCATGTTTGCCTTGGTTAGGGTCCAGGTTTGACATCCATATGTCATGATAGGTACATAGAGGGATTTAAACGTATTAAAAATTAGTTTATTATCTTTAAAAATGTGTTTTTATAAATAAAATATTATCCATACTATATATAATGTATTTTTAGGTACTCAGATTGGAGGAAGACATGTCAATAGCGTCTCTTTAATAGATAGAATATCAAGAATCATCTTTCCCGCTTCTTTCGGTTTCTTCAACTTATTTTATTGGATAATCTATTACACAAACCTTGACACCTTTAAATGGGGAAAAAGCAAGCTGTACGCCATAAATCAACAAGGATACGACTAATATTTTCCTGCTTGATTACATGAATGTGATATTTATAAAGTGTCCCCTAAAACGTCAA